ACCACTTACTTTCAACAATTAGATTAGACTTACAATCCATGAGCCGTTAAACGGTCGTCTGGAAGCTGAGGCAGGTCAATTGACTGAGTTTGCAAACTTTGATTGGCAATTGCAAGATCTCTTTGAGGCAATTTATTTTGACATTCTAAGAGTTTTTTTCTCAGCCTCGAGTCTCTTCGTAGTGGCTTTCATTGCCTGGTTTTGCTTCTCCAGAATTTTAAATTTCAATTGCTCATTTCAGCCTTGAGTGAATCCAAATTGGACTTCATTTGCTGATCCTTTTCCTGAATTATCTGATTCTTTTCCTCAATTTCAAGTTTCATATATGCTCATTTTGAGTCGTTAGTGTCTCTAGCTTGGACTTCAATTTCCCATTTTCAAGTTTTAATTGTTCATTTCCAGGCATGAGTTTGTCCCACTCGGACTTGATTTTCAGTTGCGCTGCCCGAAAATACATACCATGTGTACATTGTAATAAAATTCAAGACCAAACTCCAAAAGTGTAAATGATAGAAAAATTAAATGCTAAGTAATTCCCCTAAATTCAACTTTTCATAGATGATAATGAATAGGAAAATGTTTAATTTTTCTTTTTATTTTGTAATTTTTAAATTATTTTACATTTTTTTCTTATTTTCTTCAAATTATATCAAAAAAATTATTTTTTAAAAAAAAGGCTTAAGCAATCTAGGCATTACCGAAGCACTTTAAATTCTAAACTGTGAACAACCGCCTACCATCGCTTAGTGCTTTTTATAACCTTGGATATATTATATTGTAAGTTTATAATATTATATGATATTGTAATTGTATTATTTTCAATTGATAAATATACAATCAAAGAATAAGTTTATGAGTTTAAAACTATTTACTTAACATATTTACTTAACTGATTTTACTGATCTATTACGTATGCTTGTATAATTGAAATTATAACTATACTTATGTAAATTATACTTAATAGTTTAATAGTCATATAATAACAATAATTTTTAGAAATAAAAGTTAAGTTACAAACCCTAACAAAAAATAATCAAGTACATGCAGCAACAACTTGTTCAAGACTTAGGATTCTCTCTTTTTCTTGGCACTCGAAGATCAATTGTAAGTAACTCAACTAATTTACTTGTTATAGTTCTCATTATTTATATTATTGTGATTGTTTTTAATGAGTTATAAATGTTGGATTTCTTTTATTCAGTTTTTCTAAAGAAAAAATAATAATGGAGGCTAAAAAACCAAGTTTTAGTCCTTGATTCTTGTTTTAACTTATATTTAAGTTTGAATTATAATAAATAATATTTTATTAAATTTTCATTAGTTTTATTTAATTTTATATTATAGTAAATAATATTTTATTCAATTTTAGTTTAAATATTTTATTTTATATTATTTTATATGAAAATTTATAAATAAATATTATTTAACAAGTAGACAAATATACTTGCAAGTTACTTGGCAATTGCTAAATTAGGTACTAAGTAAATGTGATTAAATATTTGAATAAATACCAAATCTAAAAATTATGTCAAAACATTTTCAAATTAAGTGTGGAATGTGACTCATATTCAACCAAATACCTAAACATATAATATCATGTGATATTATTACAAATATCATTTCAAACAATCATAGCATTGTCTAATTATGTTTTAACTTAAAAACTTAACACTTTTCAATTTATTAGACTATTATATTAACTTTAAAACTATAGAGACCTCTTCCATTGCTAGTGAAAAAAAAAATAAAATAAAAACTGAGGATGTGTTTATTTTAAAGGAAAGAATGAGAGGAAAGGCAAGGGAGACACACAAAAAAGGAAAAGAAAAGAAAAGAAATTGCATTTTTTATTTATTTATTTTTTAAAAAAAAGAGATGAAGGAAATATGAGGAAAATTATAGAGACCTCTTCCATTCGTAGCGTAGCAAAGCAAAATAAAATAAAATAAAATAAGAGTGTCTTTAGTTTGAAGGAAACACAAGGAGAGAGAGGAGGGTAGGGGAGATAAAGAAAAAATATTGTATTCTTTATTTAGTTAGAAAAGAGAAAGCTGAAGGCAATAGGAGTATAGGAGAGACGAAGCTTCCCTTATTTTAATTTTTGTTTTTAATTGTTTTACTCAATTAAACTCGTTCAAATGAACGAAATGAAAGGGAGGGAAGGCGAGGGGAAAGGGAGAGAAGGTGGGGGCAAAATCCAACATTACCCCCTCACTCCAATATCTTTTTTCAATTTTGTTTTTTTTTTTCTCTCTACATGAAGTATGAGCGCTCACTTCTCCCTCCTCACTCCAATATCATTTTTCAATTTTGTCTTTTTCTCTACATAAAGAATGAATGCTCACTTCTCCCTTCTCACTCCAGTATCTTTCAATTTCGTTTGAAGTATGAACGCTCAATTTTCAAAAAGAATAATGTTATTATTACAATTTACATAGTATTATAAATTTATAATATAATATATTATTATATAATTAATTTTTTTATTTTTATTTATAATATTATATATTTATTTAATATTATATTATAATAATTTAATATTATCTTATTATTATAAATTTATAAATTTATATATTATTATAATTTATAATTATAAAATTAACTATTCCAGAGAAGTATTGGGTGAATGATAAAATATAGACATGCTCCCTGTAGGGCCCGCAAAGCACGGAAAATTTTCACAAAATTTTGTGGTGTAGAAATATTTCTCGAATCGTCGACCTGGTGACGAGATCCCGGAGGTAAATTGCATCTCTAGTTCTTAGAAAGTTTAGGGTTTAGGGCCGGGTATTATACGTGACCAACTCTTCCATAACTTTCCGAGAATCCATCGACGAACGGTCGAATTTCAATGTGGGACGTCCTAATTTTGAGTTTCAACTACCAACAACTTTTCAATACCTTGCCATCAATTGATCGACATCTGATTAATTTATGTTCAGTGAAAATTGTGCAGGCCCCCTTGTGAAAATTTGACTTTTCAACGTCTTTCTTATGTCTAAATTACTACAAATGTCAAATCTTATTATATAACTTTAATTTTAATATTATATAAAACCTATATATAAAATTTATATTTAATTATAAATTAATTAATTATTAATTAAAAAAATTTATATTTAATTCACAAATCCTTTTTGTTATATATTTAATATTAAATTTTCACACCAATTACCCAAGTAGTTCGCTCCAATCTAATAATATAAACTTTATATTAGTCGTTCACATTCAGCGGCGAGTTTAGCCCGCTCGTCCTTGATTGTCAGTTTTTCTTGCTGAAAGTACCATGTGAAGTGTATTAGTGTAAGTAAACAAAATTCAAGACCACACTCCAAATTTGCTAATGAAATCACAAAATGCGTACCTTCATTTTTTCCCTATATGCTTTATCGTTGCGTTTTCCTTTTTGTCACGCAGACCTGGTTCCACAATTTCCCCAGGTTTTCTCTTTAGTTGTTGCTGCGGTGGCTGAATTCCGACTTTATCATGCTGTGGAACGCTCGGCCCAGCTCCCCATGTTTGTGGTGCTGCAAATTAGGGGGAGGATATTAATTGCATAAAACCATCATCAAATCTGTTAAAATGTTAATATATATGCAAGAAAATTTGAGGCTAAGAAAACCCAACAAATATATCGATTAAACAAATTACTTCGTACTTAGATTTTCAATTTTCTCAAGTAATAATAAAGTTCTTTTTAATTATATACCAAAGTATATACCAATCAACTACTTTTGCAGACATCCATCAAACTTACCAGCATCACCCAAAGATGGCATAGATTCACTCCGCTGTGTCCTTCGTTCCCCATCCGTTGAAGTGATTAGATTTAGGATCCCTTTGAAATAGTAGTTTTGAGGTAATGGTTAGCGGTTTTATCTAAACCGTTAAATGTAAATGCTTAATAAATTTATATATTTTAAAACCGTTATAAATAAAATATTTGATAAAATTTTTATTTAACGGTTTGAGATTAGAGGATAGCGATTAGGGTTCAAACCGCTAGCGAATTGAAAAAGTTAGTTTATGTAATTTTTTTTGTACCAAACCACTAGCAGATTAGAATTTTTTAATTTTATTGATAAATTTATTCATTTTAATTTTTTAATTTTATTGACAAATTTATCCTTTTTAATTTTTTAATTTGTGGTCA